CTTAGGTGCAACACCCCAATAAATGCCTTTCTTTAATTTGGAGACAGTCCAAGTGAATTTCTCTCAGGACAATAGAACCCACATATCTATTCCTCATCATTTCAGGTGGCACTTCAACATTCTTGGGGTGCACTCTAAACTCATCATTTCTGGTGCCCTATATGGGGAGCAGGGCCTGCTACCTATGCTCTGCCTTACCTCATCATTGATGCAGAATGAGACATTTCCTGACATGGAAAATGTGCAAATTTGCTTTGCTTGGATATGTCTATTTGTTTCAAGGCTTTTCTTTTTCTTTTCTTTTTTTAAATTTCTTTTAAAATGTGGGACTAGTAAGAAGAGAAAATATATGCTTGTTAACTGTAAAACCAATTTTAAAAAACTTAATCTTGAGAATATCTAATTCTAAATAAGGCTTTAGTTTCTCCCCAGATATACCTAATTGAAAAGAAAACACTTGACCTCAGCCAGTCGTTCCGCCTGATTTTTTGTTGACTGGGTGTAGCATCTCTGACTAAAGAAGGTCAGCCTGCTCTCACTGAGGAGAGGGTCTAGTCAAGTACCCCAGGAGAGGTGCCTCTGTGGCCCTCAAAAATGCTAGGGAACCAAATTAAAATGTAATTAGGAAATGTTTAACAAAAGAAATAAAAATCAACATAGATAATGTTGATTTGTGCTTTTTCTAAATCCATTTGCAGCCCATAAGGATTTGTTCCTTGAGTTTGACACCATTGCCTTTACAGATTACAGCTGAGATAGTCAGTGGGTGGCCCTGAATAGAGCCAAGAAGTTTGCAGTAGCAAGTGGCAATGCCTCAAAAAGACAAAAAGCCTAGCAGCCATCAGTCACCTTGAGACCCTAACTCTAATTCTACTCTTCCCTGCCCTCCCCCCATTACCTATTCCCATTCGATAAGGGACAGGCCCCGGAGCCTCCTTTAGGCTCTTTGGGATCAGAAGGAAAAGAGGGACAGGGAAGCTGTGCCCCTCAGGCTGACACCCCAGTTCTTTGGCCTCTGTCTTCCTTAAGAGAACCAGAGGAGATCTGCCTGCCCAAAGTCCCACTTATCCTGGTCCAGTGGTTCTTAACAATTTTTTTTTCATATCAAGGACCCCTTTGCCAGTCTGATGAACTCTATAAACTCCTTGGAATATTTTTTTTAAATTTGTAGTTGAAGGAAATGCTTATTTCCAGCTAGAGATTAGTGAAAATAAAGTTGTAATTTTTTTGTTATCTAAGTACAAAGATTCCCTGAAATCTAATCTTCAGACCCTTGGGGATAGATGGATCCCAGGTTAAGAACTCCTGTCCTAGACCCATTGTTCACCATCTCCTAGAAGGTGAGAAAGCCCTTAGAGAAAAAGAGAAGACAGCAAAAGAGAAAGGAAAGCATCTCCAATTCCGAGTGACTCCCTGCTGGTGCCTATGCTCCTCTGACATTCCACATGACCCCACCACCACCCAAGCCCAATTTCAAAGTCCCTTGCTCTTCATTCATCCGCCTTCATAGCTTTGTCCCCATTGATTTCTGCCTCTTTGCTTTCCTTCAGTCTTTCCTTACCACTATAGCTCATTATAAGTGCCTACTGTATATCATGTATCGTGTCTACAAAGACAAAAACTGACCCAGGAAAATCAGAAAAGGTCTCTTGTTGGAGGTGACCCTTTAATGGAACTTTGAAAGGGAGCAGGCTTCCAAGGGAAGATGAGGAAGAAAAACATTTCAGGCCTGAGCAAAGAGTTTGTTGAATAGAGTAGAGCATAGTCAGATACACACTTTAGGAAAATCACTTTAGCAGCTGAGGGGAGGGTAAATTGGAGAAGGGAGAGACTAGAAGCACAAAGACCTACTATGTGTCAAGTACTGTACTATTCTCTGCAAAGACAACCTAGGGACGACCAGAAAATGTCTCTGGTAAGAGGTTTTGCAGTAACCTCTTAAAGGAGGTTATTACCATGTTCCAGATGAGAGGTGAGGAAGGCCTGAGTTGGGGTGGTGGCCAGGTGAGTACAATAAAAGGGACAGATGCAAGAGGTATTGTGGAAAGACATGAAAAGATTTGTACACTAATTATATATGTAGTGAGAGTGAGAAGTCACTGATGATGCTGAGGTTGCAAACCTGGGTAACTGTAAGGATAATGGTGCTTTTAACAGAAAAAAGGGAGTTCAGAAAGGGGTGGGCTTAGGAGAGAAAAATAATTAATTCTATTTTTGACATGTCGAGTTTTAGGTGTCCACAGGGCATCCACTTTGAAAGGTTTAATTGGCCATTGGAGATGCGCAACTAGAACTCAGAAGAGAGAAAAGGTTGGATAAAAAGATCAAAGAGTCATCTGCATAGAGATGATAAATACATTCATTGGAGTTGATTTGGTCACAAAGTGATAAAATATAGTCAGAGGAGAAGAAATGGCACAGGATGGAGCTTTGGTATATATGCCCTCCCAGTATGGGTGTAGGATAGGGATAATGAGCCAGCAAAGAAGACTTAGGAGACAGGTAGAAAGAGAACCAAGAGAGAACAGTGTCATGAAAACAGAAAGGAGAGTGTCAGGTGAGGTGTTAAGAGGATGAGGACTGAGGAAACTCCATCTAATTTGACCATTAAGAGAAGAATGATAACTTTGAGAGAACAAGTCCATTGAGTGATGGTAAGAGAAGCTAGATTCTTGTTGTTTGTCCTTCATATTAGAAGAGGACCAATGACATCACCATGTTGGGGTCAAGGTACAGTGTGTCCCACTATGGCTGATCAGACCCATATGAGCTCAGAAGAATCTACCACAGGTTGGGCACAAACAGTCCATTGGAACATTTGGGATGGAGATGCATCTCACGTCTCCTTTGAACTTTGCTCATGGAACATAGTGCCTTTTTTGATGCAGGCATGCCATACTGGGTGGTCCTATGCCACGTCTCACAATCAACACTGAAGTTCTTCAGAGATACCTCGAAAGTGACTTCTTGTGACCTTGCCTTGTGCAAGTTCTCCATAAAATAGTCTTTTAGACAAACATGCATTTGGCATTCAGGCTAAGTGGCCAGCCCATAGGAGTTGAGCTCTCTGCAGTAGAGCTTGAATAGTTGACCATTCATTTTGAGAAAGGACCTCAGTATCCAGTACCTTATCCTGCTAGGTGATCTTCAGAATCTTCCTAAGACAATCAAATGGAAATAATTCAGTTTCCTGTCATGGCACTGGTGTACTGTCCAGGTTTCATAGGCATACAACAGTGAGGTCGGCACAAGAGCTCTGCAGACCTTCAGTTTGATATGCAGCCTAATACCTCTTCTCTCCTACACTTCCTTTCAGAAGCTCCCAAACTAGATTACAGAGGATTCAGCAGCATGAGAGAAGTGGGGGCAATGGTATAGATAGTTTTTTTTCCCCTTGGAGTTAAACTGAGAAATGGAGATGAGATATAGTATGATAGCTTGAGAGGATTACAGGGTCTATTGAGAATTGTTTTGAGGAAAGAGGAGAGTTGGGTGTGTTTGCAGGCAGAAGGAAAAGAACCTGTAGGTAGGAAGAGACTGAAAAAGAGAGAAAGAAAGAGAGGAAAAGGAGAAAAGAGAAATGAGACGGGAGAGGATAATTGTGGGGGCCATCTGCTGGAGGAGATAGAAGGGGATGGGGATGAGAAGTCAGCCTAGTGAGAAGGAGCACCCTTTAATTAGAGATTTGAGTAAAGGGGGACAGAATGAAGGTCAGCATCAAAGGGTTTTTAAATGGAAAGAAAGAAAGAATAGGTAGCTCAGGGTGAATGATCTCTATTTACTCAGTAAAACTTGAGGTGAGGTTCTCTACAAACCGGGTAGTATGGGAGACAAGAAGAGATAAAAAGGTGTGAAATAGCCTGGGGGGGGGGTAAATTGGATAGAGAATCAAGCAGCCAGGAATAGAAGGGTTGTCTTGTTGAAATGAGGACCCAGTTGAGATTAGATAATAAAAGTTTATAGTGTACCCACCCAGTCATCTGGGTTGCCATGACTTTAATCCAGAAATTTATGCATAGGGAGAAGATAGTTGGTGGGATTAATCCACTTGTAACCCTACTCAACTCATATTCATGCAGATGAGTTAGATCTCCCAGAGTAAAGCTATATTTCTCTCAAAATTCTAGGGGTACATCCAAGGTGTCAAGGTATTTTTTCTAGTGCTATCTTGGATGAGTCCTCAATGTAAAATATATTGGGAGGTGGGGGAGGGGGTGGAATGTTGTTTAAATAGAGACCGACCATTTGCAGGTGGCATAGACAGATATGTTTTTGGGTCTGACCCACCTTTGAAGAGAGTAGAAGAGCCATGCCAATGCTCCCAAGCATGTAAATTGGGTGGAGAGGCAGGGTCGATCCAGGACACAACTGAACTTCAAACTTTGGTCTCCACGCTCTGAGCTCACTGATCTTTAATAAAAACTCAGATTTTTAAAAGCACTTTAATGTTTACAAAGTATCTTCCTCACAACAACCCTGTGAGGCAGGTCATGCAAATCTTCATTTTAAAGATGAATGCATTGAGTTTCAGTGATTTGTCCATGATCACACAGCTGATCAGTATCAGAGTCAATATGTAAATCCAGATGTGAAATGATTAGACAGCTAGGTGGCTCATGGATAGTACAGGGGTGGGTAACCTATGACCTTCAGGCCACATGTGGCCTTCTTGGTCTTTGGGTGTGGCCTTTTGATTAAGTCTGACTTTTACAGAACAAATAATTTTATTAAGGGGATTTGTTCTGTGAAGTTTGGATTCAGGCAAAGGACCTCACTTGAGGACCTAGAGGGCCACCTGTGGACTCGAGGCTGAAGGTTCCCCACCCCTGGGATAGTACACTGGCCTGTAGTCAGGAAGACCTGAGTTCAAATCTGGCCTCAGACACTTACAAGCTGTGTGACCCTGAGCACTTAACCCTGTTTGCCTCAGTTTCCTCATCTATAAAATGAACTGGAGAAGGAAATAATGAACCACTCCAATATTTTTGCCAAGAAAATCCCATAGACACACAGTTCACAGGGTTATGAAGAGTTGGACATGACTGAACAACATGAAATGGTTCCCATACCACCATATCCCCTCTGGTGATTCAGGTTCGTTTTCCAAGGGTATGGTTTCATTCATTTACACTGCATCTACAACAGCTTTCCCAGGGTTCTCTGAAGGGCATCTTTCAGTTCCTTGTTCCTCATACTGTAAATCAGAGGGTTTAAGATTGGGGTGATAAAGGTATAAACCACGGACACCACTCGGCCCATTTCGGGAGAATAACTGGAGCTAGGAGATAAGTAAATGAAGCTAGTACAGCCGTACTGCAGTAGGACCACGGTGATATGGGAGGAACAGGTGGAGAAGGCTCTGCGGCGCCCTTCTGCTGACTGGATCTGTAGGATGGCTGCCACAATGTAGACGTAAGAGATGGAGATGAACACGAGGGGAATCATCAGGACGATGAAGCTGATGACGTACAAAGCAGTCTCATGGGTGTGTGTATCTGTGCGGGCCAGGCACATGACTGCAGGCATGTCACAGTAGAAGTGGTAGATCTCATTACTGTGGCAGAATGGGAGCCGGAAAACCAACATCGTCAGGGGCAGGGACAGCATGAAGCCCAGCACCAGAGATCCCACCGTCAGCTGCCTACATAGGTGCCGGCTCATGCGGAGGGTGTACCTCGGGGGGTAACCAAAGGCCATGACAGCTGACAGCACAGAGTCAGCACCACCCAAGAAGACAAAGAAGAACATCTGTGTACCACACCCAGGGAGGGAAATTGGGGTTTTCCCCATTGACAGGAGGTTGGCCAAGGCCAATGGCGCACTAGCTGAAGTATGGAAAATCTCTACAACTGCCAAATTGGCCAGAAAGAAGTACATAGGAGTGTGGAGTGAGTGGTTGGCTTGGACCACAAGCCCAATGGTGGCATTCCCAGTGAGGCTAGTCAGGCACATAGCCAAGACGGCCACAAAAATCAACATCTGCACCTGAAAACAAGACGAGAATGGGCGGAAGAAGAACCAGATCATCTCTGTTTGATTTTTCATGAAAACAGCTCCTTGGACCTATTAAAGAAATAAGAACATCAGTATTTCAGAAGGGCCTTGTTGAAACCAGAATCACTTTACAGAACTTTTAACCTTCCTACCTTGGTAAGGTAACACAAATTCGTTTTTCAGTACTTAGCACACAAGAAGCAGGCAGCACAGGGGATACAGAAATGACCTTAGAGTCAGGAACACCGGGGATCTAGTCCTACCTCTGATACGTCCTGGTTATGTGACCTGGACAAGTCATTTAAACTCTCCATGCTGCCTGACAAATGTGTAAGAATATGAATTGCAGATCAGCCACCAGTCTGCATTGGTACAGTGAGTTCTTCAGCAGAAACTCCCTATGCCAGTGAAATTTCAGGGGGTCTATTCCACCCTAAAATCATATACGTATTTGTGTCTTAGCCCATTATGAGACTGTAAGTTCCATAAGGGCAGGGGCTGACTCCCAATCAAACACTCTTTCCACTATGCCCCCTTCCTCTCCCATCTCTGTATTTTATCTAAACTTTGTATCTCCCTCAACACCTAGCATAATACTCTTTCTAGTGCTTAATGAATGTTTGTTGAAAGAGTAAGAGAATGGATGAATGGATGGATGGATGAATGGATGAATGAATGAATGAATGGATGAATGAATGAATGAATGAATGAATGAACGAATGAATGAATTTGAAACCCTAGGGTTGAGGAAAGTTCAAGTTCAAAAATGTACTGTATATAAGGCATAAACTTATACATGGAAAATGTGATGCTTCAAGAGTTTGATAGATGCCCAATCTCACTAATATGGGCATTCCTTCCACAGCACTGGTCACAACCCATCTCACATGAGACACAAAACTTGAGTATGAGAATGACATGGTAATATTTCTTGAAACCAGAGAGACATTTGACCTATCTCTCTCCATCACCTATCTCCACTCAATTACCAATTGCTGTTGATTCTTTCTTCAAAATATTTCTTGTGTCTCTTCCTTCCTTCCTTTCCATTTCCACAATCACCTCTTGGATTCAACCTTCTATCATCTCTTTCAATTGCAACTGTCTCCTAACTGGTCTCTCTGTTTCCAGTCTTTCTCCCCTCCAATGAAGATTCATCTTTCTTGGCGCACCTAGGCGGTGCAGCGGATAGAGCACCCGCCATGGATTCAGGAGGTCCTGAGTTCAAATACAGCCTCAGACACATAACACTTACTAGCTGTGTAACCCTGGGCAAGTCACTTAACCCCACTGCCTAGCCTAAAAAAAAAAATTCATCTTTCTTAAGTAACTCTCATTACATTGGGCAAAGCAGAAAATCTTTTGCTCAGGAACCTTCTATATCTCCCCATTGCCAATAGGATAAAATTTAAACTCCTTTGCCTAGCTTCCCAGATTATAACCTGGAACTCCCCTAACAATCCAACAGAATGTCCCCAACCAGCCTTTTCTTTTCCCAGAGCTATGAATATGACACCATATTATAACAGCTGACAGCTATAGAATCACTTTGCAATTTGCAGATCACTTAAAGTGATCTACATTATTTCATTTGAGCCCTACAGTAACCCTATAAAAACGGGGCCACAGCTAATGTTATTCTCATTTTACAAATGAGGAAAATGAGGCTCAAGTTAAATGCCCTGCCCAGGTTCACACAGTTAGTAGGACTTGAATGTAGCTCTCTCCTGACTCCCAATCAAGCATTTTTTCCACTAGACCCACCTTCCTCTCCTATCTCTGTGCCTTTGCTTGCTTGCTCTCCCCACCCCACGCCCACCTTCTAAAATGACCATTTATAAAGCAATGTAAAATAAGGAAAGCAGAACCAGGAAAAGATTATGTACAGTGCCTGCAATGATATAAATGCTACTAACACTAAAAAAGAAAAAAAATCATCAAATTCTGATATATTACAATAAACAGCCTGGGTCCCAGAGAAGTGATTAAGAAACACACCTTCCTCCTTTCAGGAGAGAAAAGGGGGACTGCAAGTGAGGAGCACAGTATATGCTGTCAAACTTGGTTTGAATATTTTTCTTTATGACAAGGAAAGGTTCATTGAGTAGTGGGGAGGGAGGTAGATCATGTTAGGGGAAAATAACTATGGTATAAAGACAAAAGACAATAATGAAATTCAGCATTACCCACAATAGTTACCATATCAAAGGTGATTTGAAGCTCCCAGTGCCATCTGTCTTATTATAGTCCTAATATCTTCAGTCAATCAATAAGCATCTATTATGTGCCTACTATGTGTCAGAAACTAGCCTAAGTACTGGCAATAAAAAGTCAAAAAGGTAACAGTCTGTGCACTCCAGGTGCTTATAGGATCTTTGATTTCATTTTTTGTGTGTGTGAATAATGCTGAGTAGAGATTCCCCTGCACAGATAACAGATGGAAAACTCATCTGTAACTTAGTCTCATAGAAAATTACTCAGAGGCATGAAAGTTTTAGTAACTCATCTAGGGTATCAGAGTTAGTCTGTGGCTGAAAAATTGAACACAGGTATTCCTGATCCATGGTTTGCTCTAGAGCCACCATCAGATCATAGGGTAATTTTTCAAGCTTCTCCATCACTCTCAGCACATTCTCAGACATTCTGTCATCTCCCCTCCTCTCCTTCTGTGGACCTGGGCAAGTCTCACGCGCTTGGGAAGCCCCTAATCTCAGATTTGTGGCTATTGGAATTCCAGTCACGCTTCCTTCTAAAAGAATAATTAAAATACCTGTAAAATGTCTTATTTTTTAAAGTTATTGATATGTTTTTGGTTTTTACATTACCTTTACTTCCAAATACATTCCTTCCCCCACGGAGCCATCAAAAGAAATACAAAAGAAATAAAGAGGGGGGAAAAAGACAATTCACAAAAAGTAACCAACTAATCAATACATCATATGAGCTTGACAGTATTGATAACAACTTTTGTTATGAACATATATGTGCATGCACATATATGTATATATACCTATGTAACTTGTGTATACATATGCATATATGCACAATGTGTGTATATATGTATGTATGTGTGTACACACATACATATACACAGAGAGATATAGATATAGATATAGATATAGATATAGATATAGATATAGATATAGATATAGATATAGATATAGATATAGATACAGATACAGATACAGATACAGATACGGATGTGGATGTGGATGTGGATGGGGATGGGGATGGGGATGTAGGTGTGGGTGTGGGTGTGGGTGTGGGTGTAGGTGTGGATGTAGGTGTAGATATAGGTGTAGGTGTAGCTGTAGCTATAGATATATATCCACACAACAAATCCAAGGGGATTTGAGGGAAGGGACTAGCATCTGAAGCAATCCAGAAAGGCTTCATGTAGAAAGTGATATGTAAACCTGATTTTGAAGGAGACAAGGGATCCCAAGAAGCAGAGATGAGGAGGGAGAGCATTCCAAGCACAGAATAAAGCCAGTAAAAAGGCAGAAGGGAGAAGGCAGATGGAGTGTTATATGTGAAGAACAGCAAGAAGGCCAGTTTGGCTGAAATGTAGAAGAAGAATATGATCGTGTATAATATTGGGGAGTAATATATAGTAAAGCTGAAAAGGTAAACTGAGGCCAGATTGTGAAGAACTTTAAATTCCATGCAAAGGAGACACTTACCAGCTGTGTAACCCTGGCAAGTCATTTAACCTCTTTGTGCCTCAGTGTCTTCATCTGTAAAATGGGAGTACTGAACTCAAGGGCCTCCAAGGTGCCCTCTAGCTCTGAATCTGTGCTCGTCTGAACTTATGATTTTGTATTTGATCCTTAAGGTAATAGGGAGCCACTGGCGTTTATTGATCATGGGAGTGATGTGGTCAAACTTTAGAAAAATCACATTGGATTTGCATAGCAATTACTTGACATTCTTTTCCATTCAATCCAAGATGGCAACATATCTCTATTGGTTTTTTGTTTTGTTTTGTTTTGTTTTGTTTTGTTGCTGAGAAAGAAATCAACAGGAAAGTAGGCTTAATTTTTAAGAAATGTGTTTTGAAGCCAAACTGATTGAAAGGAATTTATTCCATGGAGGACTAGCTATAGTCTTGGCAGGTGCTGCAGGAAAGGCAAAATAATAATAATAATAATAAAACAAAACAAAAATCTGGTTTGGTCATGACAGGAAGCACTATCTATCTTAGGGTTCATAAAATGTTTTCTCCCTTAGCAATTCAGAGAAGAGGCAAAGTTTTTGAGGGAAAGAGCTGTGCTTTTCTGACCCTTTGTCCACAAGATGCCAAATACTTCCCACATAGCAGGTTTTTAGTAAATGTCTGTAGGGTTTTAAAACTTGGTTGAAATCATGCAGACAAGGTATCTGGGTTTTTCCAGCACTTAGCGCAGTGCCTGGCACATGATGGGTGCTTCATAAATGTTTATTGATCAGGTGATCCACTGATTGTGTTTGTTATCTAGATCCATTTGGGTATCTCATAGATGTAGCCACACACTGGCTCAGAAAGGAAGAAACAGTTTACACACTCCACACACATTCCTTGCCTTTACTGCCTCCTTGGACAAGGAGTGGCTCTTTGCTGGTTATTCCAAAGAGATCGACAACCCCTTCTTCCCCAACTAATTTCCTCACTGGTGGCCAAGAGGAACACATGCAGAGCCATCTAGCTCATTGTCAGATGAGCCAATTGCCCCTTGAGTCCCTAGAAGGCTCCCAGGACACTCAGTCCTCAGCCCAATCCTCCTGCCATTTAGCTGGCTGTCTCTGGGAACTAGATTTATTTAATGCCTCAACTGTGACAACAACATACTTACTCCTGAACAACTTACCTCATGGGATAGACCTACCTATAGGCACAAGCTGTTCCATTCTTGACTATGAGATCAAGATAGCTGAGCCAAACTCCTGGTTAGTTTGATCTTTAAAAAAAAAAACAACTCTATTTACAGTTGGTTGACCAAAAATCCATCTGGCCATCAGATTCAACCAAAAAAACTGGAGTAAAAATGAGTTTAACAGAGGCAGTTAGATGGCACAGTGGATAGCGCACT